CTCCTAGTCCTGTTCCTCCAGCATCCACAGTCACTGAATTAGAAGTGGTAGACAGCACATCCTCATCTTTTTCTTTTAGCACCTACTATGGATCTTTGCTCATACATCTATCTAAATTCCTTTTTGACTCTGTGACACAGTCTACCTCCACAAACCCCTCTGTTCTCAAATTCCAGCAGTGAAACTGTTTCATAAAAACTTTTATAAGTTTTAAACTCATATCCTACTTGTTTCAATAAGCGCCCCTTCCAATGATATTACTGATTTTGGTGAATAACAGTTCATAACATTCAGCTTATTTATCACCTATGTGATTTTTTCAAGGTCAGTCAGATTTCCCTTCAGCTTTTTCATGTCAGAAAGTATGGCCTCCATCTCTTGTAAAGCAGGTGCTTCATCCCTTGATCATTTGGAACCAGGGATAACTTCTTTAACTCCCGAAGGATATACCAAGATGTGGAAACCTAAACTGGACCACTAGTCAGGGTATAGCTAGACGTACCACAGACCAGCAGAATTATGCCATCTGCCTTATTCCAAATACCTTTCTGGGTGATATTAAGTGATATTAAGCTTTTTTTTTTTTTTCTGCTGCCTCCCATGGAGCCATTGCCTATAGAAGAGTAACGACAGTGACTAAGACCTCCTTCCTGAGTGCAATTTCCACCGCTGAGCTCATCATCAGGTACACAAGGTTTCAATTATTCTTTCCTATCTCCACTGTCTCACCCTTATCTACAACAAAACTAATCTGTGACTTTTCTGTTCATTTGTTTGACACCCAATTGACTTGCAGCCAAGTTTCGTTTCAAAAGCACTTGTAAAGCTGACCATTTTCTTCACTGACCTTTGTCTCCTTGCTCTTCTGTATGTTTGTGTTTTTCTCCTGATGCTGCTGTTGCCTTTCCCCTCTCTGCTGAATGGAAAGTGCTTACTTTCGTTTTCCCTTTTGCCCTCCCACTACCTTGATACAGCCTTGTTACAAGCATTCCTGAGCTAAGTTGGTTACTTCACTGTCAATTGGTTGCTTCCTGCATTTATAACATGTTTATGAGAACCTTCATAGTAGGCCTGTGCTCCTGGCTAATTACCCTCTTGCATGATTCAAGTACAAATGTAGGAAAAGACAGTTGCCTTTTATGCCCAAGATAGGTCTTTGTATTTAAAAATCATTGTAGAGAGTATAACTGTTTTGAAACTAACTTATTTTAAGTAGCTTTCAGCCTTTTTACAGGGACCTTTATAATTTTGTCCTCTGTATAATATGATGCAGTGTTGAAGAGAAATATGCTAATTATGTGAAAAAGACTGTTCAGGAGTCTTTTCACATCTTTGAGTGCCCATTGTGCTTGCATGAAGCTATAGGGAAGAGATACAGACACAACAAAAAACTATATGAATATTCAAAAACTTTTTGATCCACCCAAAATGGAAAAAGAGAAAAAAAAAACAACCTGAAAATTACTTAGCCTGTAACTTAAAAATATATCTAAGTGCACAATCCTGTAAAGAGCTGTCTGAGACAAAGAAAAGCTGAAGGTCCATAAAATGCATAGGTACAGAGAACACACACAAATTAAACTGCTGTTTTAATGCAGAATAAACTTTAAAGGACATCAGTAGAGGGCCTTCCGGTAGAAAAAGATCTAGGTATAAGACCATAAGAAGGCAGAAGTCAGAATAGTCTCAGGCCAAAAGAGCTCCCTCTTCTGCCCATGACAATGTCCAGTGAAAGATGTTTGGAGAAGGATATGGAAAGGACAAAGAAAGATCCTTCTCCCAACATACTTTTGCCAAGGAAGGACTTGATGATCCTTGAGGTCACTTCCAACCTGGTATTCTATCATTCTACAATTCTGTGATCTTGTCCCATATCCCAGGAACCATCTTTTGAATACTTCCTGAGTGGGAAATCACATATGCACTATTAAGGGCCCATGGTGGACCTCTTTTAAATGTATCTAATCTGTGTCTATATTTATATTGTGTGTTTCATATGTCTTTCATAACTTAATGCATGTGGGTTTTAACTTTCTGTATGGTAATTTCCCCTTGTATTTCTGCGTTCCAGGGAGGGATGAGTCACTAAGTACAAGGTCCTTGACAGAATCCCATTTATAGTGTTGCAGATGCAATAAGATGAAGATCATTTCCATCTGGGACTAGAGAAAGAAGTAATACATTTATCAAATGCTAAAAATTACATCTGTCATTGCATGACTTGCCTGGTTGTCCTTGGACCTTTTCTGGTCCTCACAGGTGAAGTAATAATGACTCCTCCTTTAACCTCCTTTATGTTTCTGGCTCCTGTCAGTACTTTGCTTTCCCTAGCAAGATACTGTTTGACTGGAACTGCCAAAAAGTCACACTGGAGAAATCCATATCTTTATTTTTTAAAAATAAAAATACATTATTTAGATTAATAATTGTTTCAAAGGTTTACTTTCCTAACAACTAGGGAGCACAAGAGCATTATCCCTGTTTATCCAGTTGGATTCTTCCATGTTAGTTGTATACCTATGTATCATTAATAATGTAACATTATTCAGTCATCTTCAAAATTTATATTAACCTTTAAAAGTTTTTTGTGCAGATTTGCAGAACTAAAACATTTTGAGTACTGGGACTCCTTTGTGTCACTGTAAGATGATTTCCATAGGAAACACAGGGAAGGAATCAGACTTCCTACCATTTTCAAAGAACATCATGTTTTTCTGAGACTCTTTTGGAAGGCACCAGGACAGAAAATTTTGCTGTAGTTCTTGCTTGCAGCATTTCTTGTAGATGCAAAGCTAGTGTATAAAAAAGAACATTTGTGTTTTCTTGTAGGTCTCACCATACAGCCTGTGCACTGGGACATTTCAGGCATTAAAATGTGATTGTCATTCTTGTTGCTAGGTAGTACAGCAACATCTGTACATCTGTAGGGGGCATGTCCTGGTCTGGGTTTACTTTGTGGGGCTTTACAGTAATGCAGAGAGTATTGTCTGAAAATATACTTAATTGAGGTAAAAATTAGAACTCTTACAATTGCCATTTTCTAAGAAAGTACTGATAGAATTACAGAGAACAGGAAGTCTTGAGTATGCTTGAGTGTTAGGTTCTCTGCTTTTTAGTTCCTTGAAACAGATCTTGCGATCTGCCCTTTCCAAATGGTTCAAAATGGTAATGGTTTAGTTTGCTCATTCTTTGAGCAACATTTTTCTGATATGCTTTTGGAGCATTTGTGCATCAGATGTAAGTCTTTTATTGAGATAAATTGATAGTCATCAAGGATTCTTTACTGATTTTGAAAATTAAGTATTTTGAACCTAATTTTTCTATCCAGCTGAGGCACTAGGCAACAAGTTCTGGGCTGAGGCCACAAAAGGCCTAGGTCACTGTGCCATTTTCAGTGGATCTTCTGCAATTCCCAAACTTTCAGGAGGTCAGGGAAGTTTCTGAGACAGAGTGAGCTAAATGATAATTTGTGACCTGCAATAAAATCCCTGTGCAAAGCTATATTTATAGATTGTGTGGTTGGTGACACACATACTTATATAAATCTCAAGGAACTGGACAGACACATGCTTAACTTCTCCTGATGGAATAGTCTCTTCTGACAACCTCAGAGACAATTTTGGAAATCCTCAGGAACAGAGACATTTCCCATCCTGCTTCAACAATACCTTCGTGAAGTGGCATTACTGTGATTAGTCACAGCAAGAAGTCTCCCATCACCCCCTGCTGACAATGAATCTGTTCCAGCAAGAAACAGCTGATAGAGACAATAAAAACTGTTCAAAGGGGAAAACCTGAAACCCTGTTATTTACTGATTCAGACATTACTGAGCCAGTAGATCATATCCAAGAAAGTGAAAGAAAGGTGATCAGAATTTGAGGATATTTGAGCCAATGACAGACCTAATTAATATAAAGGAAACACTTGCAATTCACAAGGTTTTGTTTCCCATTAAAACTTGTAAATAGGATGAAACTAGTTCTCCCAAAGTTTTCCAAAGGGGAAAAAAAAAGAAAAAGAAAGGCAGCAACATGAGGGCAAGAAGACTGCCCAGCTACATCAGCAATTCTGTCTGGTAAATGGAAGTGAGAGAAGCTCCAAAGTGAGAGAAGCCTGCCATGGACAACATGCAATTGTTAGGTGATCAGGTTTGAGTGTAGCTCCTCACCTTGGCAGCGGTGGCAACACTAAACTGCCCACACAAGAATGAGGAAGGTTGACTGAAGGCAGAGTGAGGCTGAAAAGTTGTGGTGTTCCTATTGGTGTGTTTGGACACACTGAAAGACTGAGGAACAGCAACTGGTGCTATGATGCTCCTTCTCTAGCAATAGCTGTTGTGCCATAAGGAATTGAGGAATATGGAAACTGGAAGCTTGGTCCTGGTCTCTCCTGATGTTACCATGAGTGGGCTGCTATCTGCCCTGCCCTGCCCTCAGGCTGCCAGCTGTTCCTGCTATCAGGGCTAACCATGTACTCAGCTTCGTGTAGTAGCTTTGCCTGAGGTCCGGAATTGGAGAAAAAGAATTTAAGAACCTGCAAGTATATTCTTTCATGTATCTGAAGCCTTCAGGCTCCCTAGTTTGGGCTGTTTTGCAATGCAAAACTGTTTCAACTTACAAGTGCTCCTGACTTACTGAGAAGGGTGCAATGCAGTTATACAAGCTCAGCTTTCCCCCTGCTTCACAAGTCACACGAGTTTTAACCAGGAGAGCCAGAGCCGCTGAGACCTCATACACCAAAAACGATCTTCAGGTGCTAAACCTGTTCAAACCCAGAGGTGCTGAAACCTGCTACCAGCGTCTGGCAGCCGGTGGGTTCCGCGATGGCCGCGTCCGAGAGGCGCATCTGAGGCGTGGGGACACGGGGGACACAGGCGGGGTGGGGCAGGAGAAGGAGAACATCACGCCTGCGGCTCGGTGCCAAGTTTCGTTTTTGCGGGAACGGAAAACGAAACTGAGCTGTTCCCCGTGCTCCGGCAAAGCGGGGCTGGACGGGACGGGACGGGGAGGTTTTCACCGCGCTCTTAAATGCCGAGCGGCGGGCACCTCGCTGCAGACTGCGAGCCGAGCCGGGTCAGATTGAACCGAACCGAGCCCAGCCGAACCAACTCCGGTCGAAGCGTGCCCAGGCGACTCCAAGTGAAGAGCAGCGCATCCCGCCAGGTCCAAGCCGAGCCGAACTGAGCCTAGCCATGCACCTGGTCATGCTGGCCCGGCTGCTGTCCGTAGGACGGGCGGTGCTGGCGGCGCTGCGGGGGCGGCTGAGCGCTTTGTGCTGGAGCCTGACTCCTCTCTCCCTGTCCCTGTCCCTGTCCCTGCCCTTGCCCGGCTGGCAGCGGGACTCACCCCCACGGCGGAAGCGAGAGCAGGAGTGGGACGACGCGTCCCCGACGCCCACCAGTGTCAACTACCACTTCACTCGGCAGTGCAACTACAAATGCGGCTTCTGCTTCCACACTGCCAAGACCTCCTTCGTGCTGCCCCTGGAGGAGGCCAAGAGAGGGCTGGCGATGCTCAAGGAGGCGGGTGAGTCCGGGGGAGGGGGTGCCGGTGGGAACCGGGAAGGGGAGACCCCGCAAGAGTAAGTGCCATCGAAAAAGTTATCCCAGGAACGTCCCTGTACCTTTTCATGGCGCTGCCGTGGGGCACCGATAGCATGCAGAACGAGTAGGTGATGGGCAGCAGAGGTTCATCATCTTTCTTTGGTCCTTCTCTAGGAATGGAGAAAATAAACTTCTCGGGAGGAGAACCGTTTCTTCAGGACAGAGGCGAATTTGTAGGCAAACTGGTCCAATTTTGCAAGCAGGAGTTGGAGCTCCCGAGCGTCAGCATTGTTAGCAATGGTAGCCTGATCAGAGAGCGGTGGTTCAAGAAGTACGGTAAGGAGGAACTGCTGGGCACAGCAACACTGGATGGGTTGGGGAGCCTTCGTGGGGCAGCCTCACACACAGATGGATTTGGGGGCAAGTGGGAAATGTTTTTTTAGTGGTTCACTTACAATAAATGCAAACTAAGTGTAAATACCAGTGAAATAGTGTTGACTATATTTTGCGAACACAGGCATTATACCAAAGGACTCTTTGGTATAATGATGTAATAAAACAATAGCTCAGCCTGTCTCCATAATGCTGGTGACTGACACACTCAAACTATGTGTTTTGACACTGCTGTTGCTGTGGTTTTTGCGGATGATGGAATGACTCCACAGAACTGTATTTACATGTCACTTCATGACAGATGATAAGGAAGTGAAAGTGGGCAGATTCCTGACAGCTTTTAGCTGAGGGACTGGATATTAATCAATTTTTAAAACTTGTTTTCAGGTGAATATTTGGACATTCTGGCAATTTCATGCGATAGTTTTGATGAGGATGTCAACGTTTTAATTGGCCGTGGTCAAGGAAAGAAGAACCACGTGGAAAATCTGCATAAACTGAGACAGTGGTGCCGAGAGTATGCTGTTGCTTTCAAAATAAATTCGGTGATCAACAGATTTAATGTTGAGGAAGATATGAATGAGCAGATCAAGGCACTCAATCCTGTGCGCTGGAAGGTAAGAAAGTAGTGTATACAATAGGTTTCTTGTTCAAAGAAAAGCAATAATGAGGTTTTGGAGTTGTTTGAATGTCTAATGACCTCTGTCAGATCTCCAGCTCCAGCTTGGGATGGTGTTAGGGGTCTTCTTGTCAATGTTGCATGGTGTTGAGACAGGTTCTGTCTCATTCTGCACTTGCATGGAGCCTAGTATGTCAAGAATCTTTTTTTTTTTTTTTTTTTTTTGGTGATACGTACAGAAAAATTACTATTTCAGTGTATGTAGATATAGGGATTTTATGATATTAAAATTAATATAGAAGGTCTTTAGGTTTGAAAATGTGTCATGTTGTAGAGAAAATGAAAAATCAGTATACAATGATACATCAGAGTCAATATATTGTTAACAAGATAAGTGTACATTAATGTTCTTTTATAGAGTATCAGCAGTTAATGTACATATATTTTTTATTAGAAATGCATTAAATACATTATGTTTCAATTTGAAAATGGGTAGAGGTAATGTGACATAAATATGGGAGAACTTGTGGAATAATTTCTCATTATTTGCTTCATGGCAATTGTTATACACACAGAATTTCTCAGGAAAAAAACCAAAACAAACACTTGAAGTGAAATCTATCCTACTAAAGGATAGTACTGAAAATGATAATTTAGAACATATAGAACTCTATAATTGTTAATTTGCTAAAAATAAATCTGCACCGTGCCCTTTGTGTAGTATTCAGTTATCACATTTTGTGTCATTGTAGCCCCATCGACAGAAAAATTAAAGACATTGCTACTGAGACAAATCAAGACTTTTATCATGGGGACAGTCTCTGACATCCTCAAGGCAAATGAAAATGTAAAATCTTAACCAGGTGCCTTCTGTTTTCAGGTATTCCAGTGCCTGCTCATCGAAGGGGAGAACAGTGGTGAGGATGCGCTAAGAGAAGCAGAAAAATTTGTTATTAGCGATGAAGACTTTGAACGATTCCTGGATCGCCACAAAGATGTCTCCTGTTTGGTACCTGAATCTAATCAGAAGGTAAAAATTAAACTGTCCTTCTGTAAGTTTATTTTCAAATAATGTTGGAAAATTGGAAAGGAACTAGAAACTTTCATGGCAATTAGTACTTTCCCTGTAAGTAGTGGTTTAGAAGAGGCACAGCACAACTTTATCAGCAACTGGTTTTGTTATGGTGTAAGCCAAGTTTTTAAATTTTCTTTAAGGCTTTTTATTGACCATGAAGTTATTACCAGAAAAGTAAAAACTCATTGATTCCAGTCCTACGGAAACCGGTGGGAGCACTTTTCCTCACCATGGTATAATATCCTCAAAAGGTTCAAAGTTAATAAAAACACACTTTATAGTCTAAGCATAGTTTCTAATGTCTAATAGAGATCCCTCAGCTTAAAAATTTGTTTTGAAATTGCATAATCATTCCAGCATGCAAAACTGTAAGTTCTACTGCTGTAGAAATTAATAGAAAACTTGGATATTATTTAAAACATCTTTATCCAGTTGGGCACCCACATTTCAATTAGACACTGGAGAGGTCATATTTAAGGAATTACTAGTTTATTCATATATTATTTTAGTAATTCTATCATTTATTTCTATAAATTTCATCCAAGCTCACTGAAATAGTGGTGATACAGTAACTGTTTCAAAGATTTGTATCTGACTTTGAATAGTGTTTGTTTTGTCTTTCTATTTCACCAGAATGGAATTTTAATTTTTATATTAATTTTGGGTTTTTTCTTTTGATCTATTGCAGATGAGGGATTCATACCTCATTTTGGATGAATATGTAAGTCTTTGTTTGATACTTAGTATTTGTATGCTAATATATGTGTGTATCAACAGTGATAACCAATCCAATTTACTATGCATTCTATAGAACAATTTTACCATGTAGTACAAGGAATAGATGTGATTTATTCCCATCAGACATAGTAAGAACTTTATTATAGTATGAGCTGAGGAGAACTTGCAATCAGGTTGCATGCATGATGATTGCATCACAAATTTAAAGTGTAGATGTCTATTTCTGGAGGACATCTTTGCTTCTTTTCTTTAATTTAAAAATTCAGAACATGCTCTGAAAATTAAGTTTCAAAGTGCCTACCTAGTTTATGTGTAACTGAAGAGCCAGTCTTCAGGAATTATGGTATTGCTTTGTTCCTTCTAAGGTATACCATGTGTCTAACCATGAGCTTCTGAGCCTTCTAAGGACTAGAGTGAAACTTTTCATGCACTTACATAGGCTTTTGTGGGATTGCAGTGCAACTTGTTTAATTCTGTGGGAAAGTTAAGTTTTTGCAAATTGACTTCTTAATGTCTTATCTATTGATGTTCCAGATGCGTTTTCTAAACTGTAGAAATGGACGGAAAGAGCCTTCCAAGTCTATCCTAGATGTTGGTGTGGAAGCAGCAATAAAATTCAGTGGATTTGATGAGAAGATGTTCCTAACAAGAGGAGGAAAGTATGTGTGGAGTAAAGCCGACATGAAACTAGACTGGTAACTCAACACATTGAGTTAGGGCAGTGCATTATGTAAAGAAAATGTGTTTGTATATTGAGTGTATACATGTATCTAATGCTTTTAACTACACTTGGTATATTATACAGACTGATGTTCAGTATAACTGTATGTGAATGTGTTACATGTTTTTTAAATGCAGATTATGTACTTTTATTTTATTGAGCATGACAATACTTTCAGAGCTTTCACAGGAACAGATCTCTGAAACAAACTTTCTAATCCATTTTATGAAGGACTTAAGAGCAAACTGTTAACATAATGTCATGCAGTAAATGTTTTTAAAATACTACATGAGTGTGCATGCCAGATAAATCAAACCCCACCCCAGTCTCTACTTCATTCTAAACAACTGTAATGATGTAGAAGTGAAAACTCTTATCAGGGAATGCATTCTGCCTGTTTCTCAGGGAAAGGTGGATTGCAGTTCCTCGGTAGGTCACAAGAGGGCCAGCTGGCAGGCCACTGGAAGCACCACCTGCCTTTTTCGGGTGTAACAGAGGGTCAGAATCTAGGAATCATTATATGTAATAATGTATTTAAAAGGAAATCAAGACGAAAAACTTGGCCATTCTCATTTTTTAAGATTTAATTACAAAAGTATCTGGTTTTATTCTCCCTCTCCACCATACACACACACAACATTTGCAAAAGTCTTGGGGGATATAAATTTCTGTAAAAAAATATTTTTAGTTATGAAAGAATATTGTATTTGTCCATCCTAAAACCTAGAAGTATGTTCTACCTAATGATAAACAACTTCTTATTTTACATTGGCAATGGCCTTAGTTCTAATATTTACAGTGAGAATGTTTGCATTTTATTAATTCTTCCATTTTCCTTTTATCTGTAAATATTGATTTATTATTTTTAATATTTTTTCCTCTCTGCATGCATACAGTTTTGATGAAAATTCCTTCTTAATTAATACTGTAGCACAACCTAACATGAATCTTCTGTTGCATAGTGGCTTTTTATTTTGCTAAACCATGGAATTAAAACCAGAAAAGTTCATATCTCATGTAACCTTGCTTTAAAGGTTGCTTGGTTTAGTAATTATTTTATCTTGCTGGTTGCAAAGCTGCAGATATTAAATGAAGTTAATTGGGGTTTGTGATAGCTGCCTTTGATTAAGAGTTTGCAGCATCAATATAAAATAAAGAAAAAGAAGAAAAAATAGTCTTAAATACTACCCTCATTCTTGGGTTTCTGGCAATTGTCATGGCTTTATAATAGCAGTTTTTCAAATTTAACTAGTCCCATCCTCCTTCTGTTTGAAGGGAATGGGGATAAGCATTGCAGAGAGCAGAAGTGAGCTGGCACTACTCATTCATCCTGTCCATTGAATGTCTGGACTGTCTCACACTTCTAAATATTTGCAGCAGCTGGGAGTCAGCAGGCATTAAATGTATCACACACAGAAAATGACACCTTTTTCCTTTTTTCTTTTTTTCTGGTAATGTTAGCTGACTTTTTGTTTTGAAATGTTTTTGAGAGAAATATTTTGCATTCACCTAGTGCATCTTCAAAGTTGAAGGGGAAAGTACTTAAGTAGAAGCTGCTGCTCCAAATATGCTGTGAAAATGTTTCCATTTATAATTCCTTCAGTTTCTATTTTTACTATCCTAACTGTTAAGTGTACTCAGTGGTGATCTTTTTTCTCTATGTATTTTGCATTTTGCAATCACAACACTTCCTAGACACATTTTAGTTTTTTTTTTCCCCCTTCTACTAATAGTAAGTGGCATTTAAAATGTGACCTACACACATTAACCCCACCATCTTTTGGCAGCTGTTTCACTGTCCTCAGCTGGAGTTCTGCCTGAGTAGCTACTACGGACAGTGCAAATTTATGTAACTGGGGTTTGACTTCCTCTGCGTTCCCACTGCTCAAATGTTAAATCTAGCCTCTTCCTCAGCACCTATGCTGCATGATAGAAAAGGAGCATTTTCCTTTGCTGCTGGCTCAGTCCCAGCACAGGGAAGGATTTAGTGCAGCAATGTACCAGTAAATCTACCAGCTTGCAGCTTCTGCAGGAAATGCCAGCTGTAGCACAGCACGCAGATGTGAGTTACACAAACTCCCCTTCAGACCCAAAATTTCTGCCATTCTTTGCATCTTACTCTGTAAATGGCTATTCCTTTGCTTCCTCTGTGCTTACAGAGGAAGCTGCAGGAGAAACAAAACGGAGCTGAAAATGTCAAAATCCAGTAAATCATGTAAAGACATTGAAGACGGCTTTTATCAAAAGGTTCTAAGTTCTTATCTTCTTAAAAGGATTAAAGATTTTGCATCACCTCTTGCTACCATACATAATTAAGAAAAAGGTTTCTGTTTCGTGTGATATTCTTTTTCAAAGGAAACACCAGTTGTGTACATTGGAAATGAAGAATTTGACATTACACAGTTCGACTGAAAGTCATTTAAGTTGATGAATAACTATTGGTATTTTTATATGCAAAATTCAGTGTTGTGTAAAACGTTGGGGTTTTTTCCTACAGCTTGATTAATCTAGTTTTTTGGGGGGAGGGTTAATTTACAAACACAGTTCATATTGGACCAAAAATAGACTTTAGGCTTTCATGATGTAGTTGGGCCTAAATTTCAGCACAGGACTAGAAAAACAAAACTGAATTTAGTAGGGCCACTCCCAGGCTTAGCAATTACAGGTACATCTTGACCCTGAAAAGTCAGGATTAAATCTATTGAGTCTTGTGAACACAGATATGCTCAATTGTATTTTCATGTGTAATCTCATAGTATTGCAGCTAAGGACTTACATAAGATGCTGAATTGGGAAGGAACTGATGCTGTAGTGTAGTAGTGTACTAGCATTACAGAGCTGTTCCTATTTGTAAAAAATTTGTATAGAATGAGTGTTTGGGGAACTAACTTCTGATAAAATTATGACTATACCTTGGGCAATGAGTAAAATTGTCACTTAAAATGCACTTTAGGATACCCTCTTTTTCAGTGACAAGGATGCTGATATATTTGAGTGTTACAAAAGATGAATTTTGTAATGATGTTGTCAAATAATTATCACTAAGTATTTCACATGAGTATGTGGCACATTTCAATAAATGTTTCTATTTTCTTAAGTTTGGTTATTTTGGTTTTGCGTTTTGTTTGTTAGTTTATTTGTTTTTGTAATACAACCCATAGTTTCAGAATGTATGTCTGCATTCACAAGAGATCTGTAATTCAGAATGCAGTCCATATTAGCAAGGGGAGATGCTTGCACAGTGCCAAGGACAGCATCTAGGCTGAAATGGAGGACAATAGTGGTGATTTTCCTTGTGATGAAAGGCATTTGTTACAAGCCTGAGTGGACTGGGTTGTGCTGGGAAGAAGCCAGTTCAAATACCTTGTGCTATTCGGGTGACAGGCGCTACGAAAGACACAGCCACCCATAAACATCTGAGGACAAAAACAGATTATCTTCTGTCATGGTAAATAAGAGAGAAAAGCCAGTCTATTTAGAAGACCGAAGACAAGCAGCTTCTCAAGCTCATCTCCCCTCTGGAGGCTCAGTGCAAACTCTGGTACTAGACAACGCGAAATCGACCTTTCCACAGTATTTTAGCTGCATGTGAAAGCTTAATCTTTTACCCCTCCCTTTGCCTTTTTTTGTTTTGTTTTGTTTGTTTTTTGTTCCCTGCACATTGAGGTGGGGTGAGGGTGCCCAGGAGCAGCGCCGCAGCGAGATGCTGTGTGTGTGTCACTCCCGGGGCTGCTGTGTTTTGTGTGTCACCACACAGCTGTTGTGTGTGTGGGGGGTTGCTGTGTTTAGTGTGTTTGTCACCCCCGAGGCCGCTGTGCTGTGTGTGTGTCACCCCCGGGGTTGTTACTGGGTTCTCTCACCCCCGGCGCGGCCCGGGCGAGGGCTGAGCGGCGCCGCGGTGAATCCACCAGGCATCTCCCGGTTCCAGCTCCGTGCGGCTCCTGCCGTGCCTGTCGGAGGAGGACCGGCCCTTCACCCGTTCACGCACCAACAACAGGGAGGCATGGACAGCGCTCGCAGCAGAACCCTACCCGTCATGGTTCCCGTGCTTTTCCCTCCTTCCTTCCCCGGCAAAAAGGACAAACCCCCCGCCCTCTCTGCACCACCAGCCCCCGTCGCTCTCTCCGGCCGCCAAAAGACCTGCTGGGCCGGGGCCGTTACGCTCGGGTAACCCAAGGTAATATTCCTTACAACAGACTAAAAACCGCACAGTAAAATCGCCGGCTCGGCTCGGCACTCCCGGGCCGGCGCCCCCATCCCGCCCGGCGCTGCCAAGCAGGAAATCCCGGGATCCCTGCGCCCGCCGCCGCCAGGGGGCGCCGCTGTGCCTGGCGTGGCGCGGCCGCTTCAAAGCAGGCGGCGGCGGGAGGCGGTGGTTTAATGGCGCCCGCCCCCGCCCGCCCTCCTCGCCCGCCCCCGCCGCAGAAAAGCCCGGGAGCGGCGCTCGCCGCGCACACTCGGGCTCCGCGGGGGGTGGAGACCATGGGTGGGGCGGTGTCGCCCTGCCGCGGCTCCGCGGGATAGCGGGGGACAGCGCCGCATACCGCCCGCGGGCCGCCCCGCGCCGGCAGCGGCTGGAGCGGCACGGTAAGGGCGGGCGGGGGAGCCGGCGCGGCGGGAGTGGGGAGCCCGGGCCGGGCTGGGGTGGGGGAGCCTACCGGGGCGGTGGGGGTGTTGTCGTTCCCCCCGGTGGGGCGGCCGGAGGCGGTGCCGGACCGCGCGGGGCTCCCCCGGCCCCTTACGTAAAGGGCTGTGCCGGGCGCTCCCCGTGGCGGGGGTGCCGCAGGGAGCGGCGGCGTTGTTATCCCGCTGCCCTCCGGCTCCCGGAGCCCCCGGGCGGTGTGTGGGGAGCGGTGCCTGGCCGCGGGCAGGGTACGGCGGGAGCGCTGCAGTGGGTTCGCAGTGACAGCGGCTCCGCGGAGCCCCGTGTGCTCTGCCCGGGGGTTTCCGTGAAGGAGCTGAAGCGTCTCGGAAGAGCCCCGCGCCCTGGAGCGCGGCGGCCTCTCCTGGGGGGAGCGGGAATTAAGTAAAGGGGTGTGTGAAGTGCCTTTCCCTGCCGGTGTTCTCGGATACGAGCGAGGTGTGCGGCGTGGGGAGAAATCGGTTCGTTGGGGTTTCAGCGGTGGAAAAAGTAGGAGTAAGGCTCGCTTTTTCTTTCTCTCGCTGAGCTGAGGAGATGTCACCGTTACTTTTTTGAGGTGTCGGAAGTAACGATAACGAGGTTGCCTCCGACCCCCTAGATCGCCAATTTCCTTTTAAATCAAGGGTATCCTGTTCCTGAAAAGATCAGGCCTTGCATCGTGTGTTTATGGCTTCTATAGAACTGGAACAGGGAGTGTCAACGGGGCAGGCTGATGGAAGAAGATACAAGCTGTTTGTATTTTTGCTGTATTCTTGGAAATACTGTCGCTTCTGCATTGGAACATAATATTCCCTGTTCTGCAACAGGCATTAATGATGATTTATAAATAGATCCATTTGTTTATATTGTTCCCCATGTAGCCAAACAAGTGTTTACATTGTGAAAAGGCTTGCTTCATTTCACATTAGCTTATCAGTGCCTACCCAGGAGTGGCTACAGCTGAGGCTGCATGTTCTTGGACAGAGTGCTACCGGAGAGATTGTATCAGTAGCTTAAACTTCTGGTGGCCTGGCCTGGTGTGTGCTTCTCTTAAAAGCATCAAATGTAGTGAAGGTGGAGAGGGGAGGGTGTGCGGGGTTGTGGTGTCCTGAGGGGCAGATTTATGCATTTAAAGAAGATGCTTTGTTTATACTTAGAAGGGACTTAACGGTGTGGGAGAACTTAAGTTGCTTTTTACTGGTAGTGGGACATCAGACAAAGTGACCTGACTTGAAGTTTATTAAATACCCAACAGAAACAAGATCAAGTGAGAAGGTGGGAGAGAGAAATAATTCCTTTTGTTTAGGAGTTGTTGGGAAGAAGTTGTATTTCTGTTCTCCCCTCCCCCCTTTCCCTGACCATCATGTCTCATTATCCTCTTGAGTAATCTGTGTATTATGAGGGGGGGAAACCATCTGTGATTGAAATACTAGTACAATGATAGGTGTTTCAGTTTGATAAAACTATTTTGAATGAGCCATCCTTGTCCTTTATGTAAAACAGTTAACTTCTAAATTTCCCTGATTCATATTCTAGGAGTTGCTAGATAAAATCATGTGTTTATTGTCTGCAATCGTTGTAGATTTTTGCTTTGGAATCACAGTGTTATGTTATCTTCACTTACTTTTTTTTGGTGTATTTTAAGGCAATAATTTGTTGAGAAAAAAAGACTATATTTGCTTAACTCCTCTTGTTTCTAATGTGTTGCTGTTGGTTTTTTTCCCTCCTGTTTTATGTTCCAAGTCTTTGTCACATTTCATGTGAGGTTTTTTAATAACTTCTTACAGCTTTTCTTTTAGTCAAGCTAAAGGACAAGGCTGCTGTCTTAAACATGAGTTTTGGCTGTGGTGTCATAGAGTGGGTATGAATGGCTTCAGTGTATCTGCTGTATTTACAAGTATGCTCTCATAGGCTGGCAGAAAACTCTTGTTTGCCCTCCCAGTGCTGATTCAGGGAAAAATAATAGCTCTGATCATCCCACAGCTTAGTCTGCAAATGTAGACCCTTTCTCTCCTAGAGACCTGATGCAGCAGGGGAGTTGGAACCTGTTACATTGATTGCTGTGCTTCCTGTAGAGTAGTATCAATAGTTACACCTTGAGTTAGTGGTCTATGGTTTGATTAGAAACCTTTTTATATCCTGAGTTACAAAAAGGAAACTGAAAAAAATGCAAACTAATACACCACTATTTCAATAGTTTAGTGATTCTGCTAAGTCTTAGGCTGCAGTCAGCTGTTCTTATTATAAGGCAGGATCCTTTTCTGTTTTGCTTTGCAGAAATGAGCTCAAAAAATTCATCTTTCCCTGACCTTTTGAAGGAGTTCAGACAAAAAGATCATAATGACAATGTCTGCTTTCCAATCCTGATGGCTGAGGGGAGGTGTTGAAAATACACTCGTTCCTCTGGCTGTCTGCTGCAGAGTGATAGGAATGTTTTTTGTGCTTCCTAATCAAATGGTATCAGAAATGCTTACAGTTTTTCTGCATATGCAGTCAGCAAATTCTGGAGCTGACAGTGCTAATACAAAGTGCTTGTATTGTTTGATGGACCATAAGTGTCCTTTCTCAAAAGTCTGAAGAAAATGAGGAACAGAGTAAGTGAACCAATATCTCTGATAACTTTATTTACTGTGATGAAAAAAATTCCCATCAGATGGTTCTGGGCTTGGCATGACAATGTTACTGCCGCCTTATAGGATCATTTAATCATTTTGTTCAAAAAATAGCAAGTTATTGGTAGCTTTTTGCATTAAAGTACCTTGCTGTTATCCTACAGGTATCACTAAGACAGTTTAATACAAGTACTTCCTGTTTCTATTAAATGGAAGTGACTTGTGATTGAAGAAATGCACTAAAACTTACTTAATATAACCTTTTCCTTCTGTATGATATCCAAAGGTTAGTTTGTAATACTTGGGAGTGAAGTTGGGTCTTTCGGGTTGTCTGAAAAATAAGATTCTAAGTTACCATGTTCAGGCACAATTTTTTTCACTACTTACAAATTTAGCTTTGTTTGCACTGATCACTGCTTTGCTTGTGAGAAGCTAGATTCCATAGTTTTGGAGTCTTTATTCTTGAGTTTCACTTGGAAATTTTACTGACTGTAAAATTGTTCTGTTTTTGCTGTAGTATTGAGGTTATTTCCTGTTATCATAAAACTCCATAAAAACTGCAAGCTGTGAAAACTATTGCGGTGGTTCTTGGAGACAGTTTCAGCTGAACTGCCTTCATCTCAACTCCAGTCTCTAATAAATAGGTCATATACATCATAAGAATTGTATAATACCTGACAACTGTTGTACACATTCAACCCTTGTGGAGGACTCTTAGCTAGTGAGGAATATGAAGATGAAATTAGGAAAATGTATTAAGGCCAAAATTCAATATTGGCCCACCGGAATCTGCTACATGACCAGCTTCTTCCTATTCTTATAATTTCTGCTGTTGATGTTTAGCAGTTGATTTACTTCATGTTTGATTGCTGGTTAGACTCTGTGCAGATTTCATAACCTCACAGATATTTATTTCCTTTTGTATATATAGTTATTTATATGTATATATAAAACTTTTGCTATATATGATATTTTGTTATGTACTGTTTTATATATATATAAAACCAAATATTTTTTAATCCTGAATTTCTCTAAACAGCATCTAATAGGGGACAGATCTTATCAAAATTTTTGCAGAATTATCAGAAGTGATTGCATTCTGTCCCACTTACCTTTAACACTTCCAGTGGTGGGGGGTTGGACTAGATGATCTTGAAAGGTCCCCTTCTAACTCAAACCATTCTATGAGGAACCTGGAACTATTTCACTTTTAAGTGGTATTTAAGAGAGTCTTTCTGATGGATTAAGCTTTCAGTTCTCAGCCTAGGTGTACCTGGTAGCTGGCTGCTGAAGCTACACATGCAGCATGATCCCCAGAGTAACTCAGGGTGGTGGATCTGCCGTGGCCCTGGGCCTGTAGTATAGGCAGATGCTCTTGCTTGAAGGACTTTTGGGAAGTGCCCAGATGTTGCCAGTTCCCATGGGGTGTTACAGGCCCTGCCAGGAGGATTTCACACCGTTTTCAGTCAGGGCTGTCTCCCTGCAGTGACCACACAGGGTAGCTGTGGTGGTGTGGGTGAGCAGAGCCTGTTCCTTGCACAAATGCTACCTCCTGGGGATGACAGGAAAGGGTCTTGCGATATTGCTTAAAGCAACTATATTTTTCTAGGCCTGATGCTTTAGACAACATTTGTCCTCTTAGGAGGAACATGAATGTTATTTAACTCCAGTTTTCCTTTTATTGCTACTTAAGGAAACAATGTTCCCCTTCATCTCTCTATACCCGTATTAAGAAATACATCCATCCAGACAGAATGAGAGCGATGCTCTGCGACTTGTGCAGTCAGGCTTATGTCTCCAGCACAGTCGCTGCAAACTCAAGACCAAGCTATTTGCAGTCAGTGTTATGTTTTTATATATATTTTTAGCCTTGTTTTCTGAGAAAATAGAGATTGCATGCAACTCTTTCTGTGAATGTCTTATTTCACTCTTGCTCTTCTAAATCTTTTGAGCCATTCCAGTTGCATTTTTGTGAGGGTAGAAGCTTACTCCAATAAACCTACAGTTTTCTGGCAGTAGGTAGCCTCAGCAGATGGAAAGATGCCTGCTGAAGGAGAAATTGAAGTCTGAGCTCTTCCTACAAATTTGACACACATTCCTAGGAAACTGGATTTTACTGGCTCAGTTGCTTACGAATCAACTTACATTGTGCTCCTATTTTTGACATTGTCTCAAATTAGACTGTTACTTCCTTTTTGGTTATTTTTGTAACAGTTCTGAATATGGAAGAAGAGCAAGTATTTAGTCTTTAGCCCCAAATAGCTTTATAATGTTGCAAAAAGTGCATGATGAGAAAGGAAAGGTTCTTTGGTTTTTTTAAAACATTTTATTACTGTTCTTCATACATGTTCTAC